GAGGAGAGAGAGAGAGAGAGGAAGTGAGTGGAACGACGACGAGGAGAGGAAACTATCGGAAAAGCGGGGAAGAGTGACCATAAAAATAGTCAAGCAGATACGTGGTAAACGATGGAAAATAGTTTCTGAAACGTGAAATACGCGTCGATGCCCTTTCACCCGGATTTCCCGAAGGTGTTCAGAAAATTATCAGAGACCCAGAATTTTCAGGCTGAAGAATTTACGCGGCTCTCCCTTGATACGGTCTCCGAAGGCGATATCGTTCGCTTCTTTCTTATCCGCCCGATCTTCCCCCCCCCCGTCCCCTCCCCCTCCCCTTGAAATATCGAAATTACACGGCGCAGATCCTCGCGTAGATTCGTTCTAATCGTTCCCCCGAATCGACGAAGTAGAAATTTCTCCTCCTCCAACTCTGTTAATAATCCGTTAACGATCCTCGGGGCACGATAGGATTGTTGATGTTCAACCCTTTGTACGATTACGTGACAAAAAAACGCGACTCCTTTTTGTCCGTAAAATAAAAAAATAAAAATAAAAATCGAGCGAATATTTCATCGGACTTTTTTAGAGGAAATAACGGGTTTTTAATACATTTTACAAAACCATTGATCGTACTACTTTTTTCCCTTTAGTTGCAATACTTTATGCAGTAGCAGTAATCGATGTGAAGTGCGATTAACTTTCTGTCAAAGTTTGTGGTGTATCGAATAATCTATGGATAATTGATTCTTTTTATCAAGTTACGTTCAAACTCCGATAATTGTCCTTTCGTGGAACTTTCACGGAACGAGTATTTCCGAGGTTTTTGAGATCAAATTAAAAAAAAAAAAAAAAAAAAACAATCAAAAACACGAGGCGTTCTCTAAACGCGAATAATAATCGCGCACAATCGTTTTCCCAGATTATTTCCCACGGAAGGAGATTTGCGATAAAAATCCCAGTTGAAGGGATTCGATAGTTCACGTCGGTTTTTCGAATTGTTAATTTCGACTCAACTCAACTTTTTCCAAGCGTTTGCTTCTCGCGGAGAAAACGCGATAATTAATTCGCCGGAGCAGCCATTCAGAAAATAAGCAGTCGTTTCATTCGGCGGCTCTTACCGTTCCCCGATTTTTTCCACTATACCACTATACTTTCAATTCTTTTCATTTATGATAATTTCCAATTTTTTTTATAGAAGAAAAAATAAAAGAAAGAAACGGAGATCAAAATTTCTATTCTCGAATGATAAATTTCGACATTAACCACCCCCTCCCTCTCCCGAAATTTCATTTGTTAAAAATCAATTTCGATAAAAATTTGTGCGCCGGTTTTGTTGAGAGGGAGGGGGAAGGAAGGTAGCATAAAATTACAAACGATTCGAAAGGCACCAATCAAGGTGTGCTGTGTTTTTTTTAATTACACGTAATTCAGAAGGTAGAAGTTCCGCATGTTAATCTACTTCGCTTTGCAAAGCGTTCCTCTGTTCATGCTCGCGGTCGCACGTGGTACCACGACGATATCACGCTTCCAGCCTCGTTTACTCGGTAAATTAAATACGAATTAATCCCATTTTCCCGAGACGCGTACGAAAGAGCACATTTTAACGGCCTTCCCTACGTTTTACTTTCGTTAAAGTAAAACGCATCTAATTCCATTATTATGTAGTAGGGCCGTCCTTCTGTTTGTTTTAATTTTCACCGACTTCGCCGCTGTATTTACCCCACCATTCGTATGTATCGTTAAATTCGTTAAATTCGAACGTAAATCTTCCTCTTTAATGTATCCGAGTTGTAATTTACACGGCGGACAAAGAGTCTCGAAAACAAGGATTATTGAAAAAAGAGCGTCCGATTTGAACTTAATTTGATCGCGGATTTCAATACACTTCAGGAGTAAGCATTTTATCGAAGAAAAAAAAATTGAAATCGGACCAATATCATTTTGACAACGTCAGAAGTGATATTGTAGTAAATGCTGCTTTTTGAATTGTCAAAAATCAGCACAGATTTTATCCAGGTTACGTCGATTCCAATATCTCCATTACCTTAAATGGAGATATTTTCGAGAAACGAAATCGAAAAAATATCGGGCAATAATAATCCATTTATAATTACAGCGAAGTCGAAGTGTCAATAAACTTTAAAACTGTCCAAAATTTATTACATACGAATTTTTAATTTAATATATTTACAATTAATACTAATTGATCAAAGAATTTCCATTAACTTCAATAGATTCAGAACGCGTGGAGAAACAAAGAAAGAAAACAGAAAGAAAAACACGATTATACGAATATACGAAGACGAGGAAAAAGTGCGAAAAGAATGAGGTCGTCGACCGTATCTCTGGTCCCCCTCATTTTTTCGCTTCTCGTTACATTGGTCAAGAAAAAGCAGTTGCACTACTCGACACCATTCGATTTCCCAAGCTCGATACAATCCTACTTCTCTTCGTAATTATTTAAATCAAAGAAAATATTTCAGAATCGACTCGGAGATCAATTCTTATTTCTTAAAAACTGAAAGCTCCATCGGACGAGTTCGCGGCGTTCAATAAAAATGTTTGCTTATTTTCACTGTTCTGTTTAAAAATTAAAATTAAAAGAATAATTTTTTTAACACTCACCCAGCTCTGGACCACAGACCCTCGGTATGATCTCTAGAATGGCGCTGCAGGATGCATCCTCGAAGCACAATTGACGCGCGTAAAGACAGTTCAGTATTGCAACCGGTACTTTGATGTCGGATCCTGAAAGCAGAAATAACGCGGCAGACGTTAGCAATAAAGAAGAGATAAAGTGTCTTTTTACGAGGGTATACATTCCAGAGGATGAAGGCGACAAAAAAAAAAAAAAAAAAAAGAAGGTAGACGAACAAAGCTTTGATCGCGTGGAAAATCCTTAATAATCACTATCGGGCGACTAACAATAAGAAAACACATAATGGATCCCGTTGAAATGCATTCTGATTATAGGAAATCGAAGATACTCGAACACGTAGATCGAAACGATTGAAAATGAAAATGGAACGAGAAGAAAAGAAATGATTCACTCGAGAAAAACAATGGAAAGTTACAATTGCGATTTAATATGAGTATTATTTATTGATAACAATATTTTGTTAACGAAGTAACTCACGAAAGATCGCACTTATTCATCGGGAATAGAAAGAAGAATAAATGAATGATCGAGATGCCCTTTGTAAATTTTTCTCATTCGTACGATACTAATCAAGATAAACGAAGATCGAAAATCGAAATTACTATTGTAGTAGTGTATGTAGTATAATTTGATCGAAGATTTGAAGTATGGTATAATTTAATTTTATGTAATAGAGAGTGAAAAAAAAATAATAAAAAGATATGGCAACTTGTGATATATAATTCACCACACAAACAAATAAACTCGAATAAACAGAGAACGAAAGCAAAAAGACGTCGAAGAAAAGAGATAACGATTTCGAGTAACTTTATAACTCGACTACGCTCGACGTTCGAAATTATCCATTTATTTCTTACGCAGATCGTGACAAGTTACTAAAAAAAAATTCGTGACGAAGTTTCAAAACGGTAACCATAACCGGTAGAAGAAGAGAGCGGAGAAGTACGGTCAAAGAAGGAGAAATGAAAGTAAAAAAAAAAAAAAAAAAAAATAGGAAAACGAGGCACGGAAGAGACAGGAAAACTGTGCGGACCCTCACGGATTTTTACGAGCCACTCGCGAAACGGCAGTCGATAAAAGAAGAGAGTACCGGCTGTAATTAATTACGAAACGTTCGCTACCGTTGGAAACAGCTATAAAAAAAAATGTACTATCTCGTATATATTCCCTCTCATGCCAGTTGTCCGTGCATATCCCGGAGCAGTGCGTTAGGAAGATAGACGGATTTTTCGAATCGTAAATCGAATTCGAAACCTTTTAACACAGCACCGCTCTTTCGAGTGCGACTACGTTAAGGATAGCCACTTTCGATCTCGTTTTTACGACTTCGCGAACACCATTTTTCACGGATTGATCTCATTCGATGCACGATCAAGATATTTCGAAATTAGTCGTAGATTCCTGCTAGATTCGACATACAAGATATGAGAAGTTTTTCGCCTAACGTACCTACGATTTTCTCTCGTATTCGTTGTATATACGGGAAAACGAATAAGCATACGCATATACGCACAATTGAACAATACACAAGGCGAATTAGGCAGCCATTTTGACGTCGTAAATTATTAAGATATTATTGCGACGTAACAAAAGACACTCTAATTGCTCAAACAACACATCACTTTAATTTTATTTCTATTCCGCGAATGTATCAAAGCGTGCTTCGAACGAGATGCTTGCAAACGAGGATAAACAAACACAGTAATTTCCTTTTTTCTATTGTTTCGAATCGTGAAACGAAAAGTAACGCGGGGCCACGGGACGCCAAAGGAAACTGCGCAGAATATTTCATGCGTGCGAAAAAATATGAATGTTTAACAACGTGTACGAACACACCGTGGAAGTTTACAACGCTTCGCGATGGAACTGCTCGTTTTTGCCGTGAATGTAAATTTGTTTCATGTTACTTACATAAAGTAGAACGACGCCACAACCGCTTTCGACGAGGTCCGGACGAGAAAGGATCGCTTGTCTTTAAGACGTTTAAAATTTGCAGCGTAGATGGCACGGCAATCGCAAGCTATCGCTACCGTACAGCTCAATTAAGAACTTTAATCGATGCAATTATATTATTTAAAAAATATATTTTTTTATTAACGAGATATCAATGAAGAATTTTAAGATACGTTTTATTTCTATTTGTGTTAAATTATCGATAATATAGTTTTTTTTAATTTTTTAATGCTTCATAAATAATAAAATAGTAGTCACATTGACGCCATATGTACTTCGACAGTAGAGCATTATTTTTCTATGGTGGCACGTTGTCGTCATTTTGACAAAAAGTGAATTAAAGTGAAAATCCATGTGTTGAGTGTTAATTTTGTGCTGCAAGACATTTTCCGAAAGAGTATTACGTCCTACATCAAACGTCAATTTGGTGAGAGAAATATAAAAACACTTTTCTCCTATTACGTCATGCGTAGTTTCATATGCATAGTTCCATATGCATAGTTTACGTTATTTTCACCTTTCAAATATATTCTATCGAATATTGGGCGCCAAAAAATATTATATATTTGTTAGATAAACGAACGTAATCTAAAAAATAGATTATTCCATTGCAATAAATTCTTTTCACAGTATTAAAGAAAAGAAATAGTAATTAGATTTATGATTCATCATGATTAATTAGATTAAAAGCTAACTATTTAAAAACAATTTATCGAAACGACGAAAAGGATTAAAATAATAGCAGTATTTAAAAAGAGTAGTAGGGAATAGTTAGTAAAACGTGCCCGACCAGAGTAGAATAATATTTCCATTTAACTTCCGTTGCTCTTGAACTCACTTCTCCCATCTTGCTTTTTTCCACCAAGATAATTATTCATCGTTACTATGCCATCTTTCTTTTCGGCGCCGCCTTATAATGAGACGTTTGTTTTAAGTGCATGAGGCAAAAGCTTGTTCCTTTTACACTTTTTTTTTCTTTTTTTTTTTTTTTTTTTGTCGACAAAACATTCGCGTCTAACAGAAATACACGAGAAACAACCTGGTAGTAAGGGAAAATAAAATTTGAATGAAAAAGTAAAAATGTCACATTCGACGAACGAATCGTGCGACGTACAATCGTGCTTTCATTCGAGAACGATTGCTCGTGACCTACATCGATTCGAAAGGATTCGAACCCCATTGATCATACACCACGAGTTTCGATACTACCAAGAAAATTTTTCGCGCAGTCGCGGTGGAAAAAAAATCAACAAAATTCTCCGTGTACAATTGTCTAATTCTCCGCTGTAACGCTGTATCGCAGCGTACATATTTCTATCGTGGGTTGGCACTCCTTATTCCCTAGCGGTATCGGCGGTTTATACCTCGTGCGATAAAGCACGAGAACATGCGCGTATTGTCGGCATATTGAACTGACCAGACAGTGGTAACAAGTGGAGAGATACGCGGCCACGTAATATGTACGTAATCGCGAGTTATACCGTTACATTAATTTCATGACTTACGCGGAACGTCCATGAAATTGCGATTAATCATGATTTACTCGTGTCCGAAGCGGCCACGGCCACCAGTATCGCCGGACTGACTGCGAGCTCATCGTTTCTCGCCTAACCGAAAAATCTATGTATGCACAATGTACGATTTGTACGATGATATTGTTCGCTGAACCGATATGCTTAACAGAATCAACGTTCGATAATATTGCTAATATTCCACGCCAGCATGGTAATACGATATTGTCGTATTATCGTTTAACGCACCATACAATACAATACAATCCTCCGTTAATTCTCTTAGTATCACAATTTCTTTTCATTTCTCGAATCAAATCTTCTTTCGATTTCAATTAATTAATACCGTGTTACGTGCGATATCGTTGACGTAAATGCGTTCGAAACAAGTGGGGAAGGAAAAAAGGGGGAAAAAAGAAGAAAAGAGTGTCATGCGAAACGATACGAATACGAGAAACAAAGTAGCGTGGAATAACTAGTACGGCTGTACTACGATACTGAACAAACACAGCCGAATCGATACGAAAGCGGAATATTCGTCGCGAAAGAGTCTCACGGCCAGGTCGAGCGTATTTTATTTCCGCGAGAGTGAAACGTATATACGAGTGAGAGAAGGGAATAGAGAAAGAGAGTAAACGTGCGAGACACGCGAACGTTATACGGAGAACGATAAAGCATTACCACGGATACAGCCATAATCTAGTTCGCCGGCATATTGACGAACCCACTCGTACAGTAATGCGTTACGAGTGGTTAGATAGGGAGGGGGCGCGTAATGTGTAATCGCCCGACGCATTATGATTCACGATCGCACACGCGAACACGATAAAGTCCAGCTGTGCGTATCCACACGTCGCTCGTATGGTCATCTGGCCTGTCCGATTCCTGCTTTCAGCCACACTGGAAAATCAACGTACCGTCATAACGATGACCGATGGCGAGAAGATTTTCTCTGTCGTGCGATAGAGATACTAGATTGTTTAGGGAATTGTCCAGCAGCCGAGAGGACGTAATTAAATAACCGATACGAATAATTAAATCATCATTCGAATTAGGAGACAATGTAATTGTAAAAGATAATTGATCGGAGGCTGTTGAACAAAAAGATTACGATATAAGAGGTTACGAATATAAAGACTCTTAACGGTCTCTTTACTTCTTTCAAGAATTTCGAAGTGAGAAAAGAAAATCTTTTTAAAAATAATTAATTCGCTCGCAAAGAATATCTGGACGAGTTTCATCTTGGACGAGTCGCGTCGAACAGACAGAGCTCCATTAGAGAAAATTAGAGAGGAACAATGAGAAAGATTTAATGGAACGAAACGTAAAAATGACAAACGTGGCATCTGGTTCCTCCGGTGATGATCGGTCGGGCTACTCATTCCGGGAAAGCCCAAAAGCTTCGAACTGCACGAATTTCTAACAAACTTTCCTTGAATAAATTAAAAAGTCGTAGACACATCCCAGAGAAGGATAGAGTATACTAATTTCTAACCGACCTCACTGGCTTTGAAATACGTGTCTGGCCTCCCAATCGGGGCGATTTCGTGCCGTTCCCTCGAACAGAGTGTCACAGAGATCCTCCAGCCATTTCCCAAGACATCAACTTTGTTTACCTCCCTCGC